GAAACATTGATGTGAGAGAGACACATTGATTGGTTGTGTTCCGTATGTGCCCTGACCAGGGCTGGGGATTGAGCCTGCAACCGACATATGGGCCCTTGTCTGGGAATTGAACCTGAGACCCTTCAGTCTGTGGGCTGACACTCTATCCACTGAGTCATTCTGGCTAGGTCATTTTTGTGATATCTTTTGCCACGTAGAAATTTAAAAATTTTATGCAATTAATTTTATGAACCTTTAAAATGTTGGTTTTAAAGTATTCTGTCCTGAGAGTCTTTTGTATTTTTCTCTATTATTTTAACATTTTATTATTTTACACTTTTATTTTTCTTTGATGCAGATCTGCCTGGAATTTAGTTCTGTCTGTGTTTAGAGATAGTTTAGTCTTATTTTCTTTCAGCCCTATAGCTGCTGGTATCAGTGGTTAAATAGCCCACTCTTGCCCATTAGAATTGAGGTGCTACCATTATTATATATAACATATTTTCATATTTATTTGGATATTTGGGAGTCTCTGTACTGCTCCATCAATTTGTTTATCCTTGTACTAAAGCCACACTGTCAAGGCCTCCTTGTGATTATTGTTGGAATTGTATTAAATTTATACATTAACTTGGGAATAATTGATATTTTAATTTTTCCATTCAGGAAAGTTGTATTTCTATTTATTTTGATCTTTATACTTTTTAAGAACATATTATGGTTTTCTTTATATAGGACTTGTATCTTTCCTGTTAAAAATATGATTTATTTTAATTTTTTAATATTGTAAATGTAATTCTCCTCTCCCACTTTGTCTACTGGAAAAAGTCAACTTTTAATGCTATAGTTTTTGTTATTGTAATTTTTTAATTCATGAATTAGAAACATTTTATAACTTTTTATAGATATGCTTTTTTCATGTATCATTATAATCCAAGCTTTAAAAAATTGCTATTTAAAATAAATATTTTAAATAGTTGCATGATTTTTCCTCACCATAACTTTTAAACCATAATTCTTCATTCTTTATCTAAAGCTCAAGGTAACAGTATTTCTGGTTCTTGAGTTGTGGATTCTTTTTAAATATTTCTTTTAGAAAAAGTGCTAAATTTCAGAAAGGCATAGAGGTAAGAAAGATATCACCAGTAATTCTTTTACCAAGTAGCTCTTAATTTTTCACATACTTCCCTTCAGAATTAACCCCCCCCCCCCCCCACACACACATTTTGGAGCTAGTTAAAGGTGATGGCTGTACAGCACTTCTTAAAGAAATGTTTATATTGATTTTTAAAGGGAGAGGAAAGTGGGGGGGGGGGGGGGGAAGAGAGAGAGATGGAGAGAGAGAGATGAGAGAGAAACATTAGTCGGTTGCCCTCCATATATGCTTCTGGACCAAACCTGAAACTTGGGCATGTGCCCTGACCGGGAATCAAACCAGTGACCTTTCTATGAACGGGAGGATGCTCAACTAGCTTAGCCACACTGGCCAGAGCTCTTCAGATTTTTGTTTTTAAACTTCCCTCTTTTATTATTTTTTTAAATTATTATTATTTTTAAATATATATTTTTATTTACTTCAGAGAGGAAAGGCCATGGTCGATTTCAAATGATCATCATGTAATGGCCTTGCTTTAGCAGGGCTAGTTGATAATTGTATTGTCTTAAATCTGAGATGTGGTTAATGCGATTAATTGACTGATTTTCATGGGTCCAAGCGACTCCATCCCAGGTGACATTGGAGCTTCCACTCTTCCACTTGTGGGTAATCTAGCCCATTTTCATGTTTCTACTTAGTTTTTTCCAAAAGCTTCCAGTAAAGCTGTAACGTAAGAAAAGGATTAATTTGAAATATACCCTTCTGTCGCAAGGCTAATGTAATGCAGTTTGTAAAAATGCAGCATTTATTACTGATCCTGTCTGTCCTAAAAAAAAAAGCACAGATTGCCATAAAAAAAAGCACAGGATTCCCCGGAATCTCATTACATACTAATGTGGCAGGTTAAGTAGTCTTGAAATATAGGACAACCCTCAGGAAAACCAGTGCTTGCAGAATTTTATCAGTGAACCAGTTAAGCTCATGCCGCGTCCAGCTGTGCAGGTGGATACTTTTACATTCAGCAGGAGGACATTATTTTGTTTTTCATTTGTTAACTCCTTCACTCTTTCATCAAACCTTTACTGAGGACTTGAGGGGAGGTTTTTGGTTTTTTTTTTTAAACAACGTTATTGAAGTCTAATTTGCATACCAAAAAATCTAAACTTTGTAAGTGTACTAGTACGATGCAGTGATTTTTTTAAATCATAAATTTATAGAATTGTGTAACCATCACCACAATCCAGTTTTAGAACAATATTCTCAGTATGGCCAAAGTTCCCTAGTGACAGTTTATCCTTGATTTCACTCCTAGCCATGGGCAATTACTAATGGACTTCCAGTTTCTATATGTCGACCTTTCCTCAACTTTCGTGGAATCATACGATGTGTGCTTCTGACTTCTTTCCCTTAGCATAATATGTTCAAGGTTCATCCATGTCGTGGCATGTGTCAGTACTTTATTCCTTTTATCGCTAATAGTATTCCATTGTATTGCTAGACCACGTTTTATTTATCCATCCCTCTGGGAAACAGCTGTATGCCCTAAAAACTTGAAGTGATTTCCTTGCTTGGTGCTTTTTGCACATATTAAAAATTCACTGTTGATTAAGTGCCCCACTTAATTAAAAACCATGACCCAATTCATTAATGTCTGTATAATAAAGCTTAGGCTGATAAATGCCAGAGAGGCAGCCAACCCACCACAGTCATGCCAGAGAGCACTTAGCAGAGAGCATTCTTGGAAATAGGAGAGCCTAAGGTGAGAAATAGAGAGCTCCACAAGTGGGTGCCCCTTTCATTGTGCAGGAATTGCCATGTAACGGAATAAAGACGAGAAGAAGCCCTGGCCAGTTTACTCAGTGGTTGGAGCATTGACCATGGAAGGGTTGCAGGTTCAATTTCCTAGTCAAGGGCACATACCTTGGTTGCGTTTCAATCTGACCAGTCGGGGCGCATGTGGGAGGCAACCAGTTGATCTCTCTCTCTCTCTCTCTCCCACCCCCCTCCTCCCTTTCACTCTGAAAATCAATGGAAAAAATATCCTCTAGTGAGGATTAAAAAACAAAAAGGTGAGAAGAAATGAAAAACCTTAAGGTGACATAGTTATAAATCAGCACCTATATAGTGTGCTCACCACAAGCTAAAGGACTGTAGATTCATGTGTGTTCTCCTTGATTCACTGGTCTTAACTGACCTGGATTTGTAACCCAAATCCAGGTCAATTAAGATCTCCCTAGGGGAGAACTCATTTTGGTCACATTTACCGCAGTAGCCAGCTTTGATCATTGGCAGTAGTAGCCTAGAATGCTGGGGTGGATTAGTGATGTGTGTCACAGGCACAGAATTGAGAGAAAATGTTGGTATTTGCTGATTCTGTGCCAGGGTTTTCTGGTGTGGACAGATGACCTGAGTAAAGGTTGGGTTTATGAGGGAGAGGACTTTTGTCATAGGATAGAGCATGTTTGTGTTGGTGCTATGGGGTGTAGCAGAAACTAGCTCGGATCAGCATGGGAGTGGGGAGAGCCTGGAGTACAGATGGTGCTGCTAATTACGTACTCTATGTATGCTGTCTCTTCAATGTCTTTAAGCCTCAGTTTCTTTATGTGTAAAATGGAGATAATAATACCTACCTACCTTACCTATATCATAATGTTGGTGAGAGGAGCTAATGAATCAGTGGTATGAAAATATTTTACCACCCACAGAACAATAAACCCTTGGAGTGTTATTATTACAGGTGTGAGGGTAGGTGGAGCAGGAAATGCCTGCAGTTAGGCAAGGTTGGAAAGGATGTGGTGGCCTCAGGGCCTTTGCACTGGGCCCTTCTGCCCAGCCTGCTGCCTCTTGTCATATCCAGGTTTTAACTCCAAGGTTACCTCCATTCAGGCCACATAATTTAAGCTGGTTCCTGCCCGTTCTCCACTTACCACCTCATCCTGTTTTATTTTCTTCAAAGTTCTCATCAACTAAAATGGTTTGGTTAGCCTACTTGTTTGTGTGTCTTCCCTGTTAGAACTGTGCAAACGTGGTGAGGCAGAGACCTTGTGTGTCTCACTTGTGTATCATTAGAGCCTAGAATAGTGCCTGGCACATCGAAGTTCAGGGTTTCTTAATATTTGTTGCACAAGTGAATGGAAGGGTCTCTGAAGTCCACAGACCCAGTTGGACTGTGGGCCAAGGAGTGCTGGGAGGATTGGTAAGAATAGAGGGTAGTTGCTGTGACCTCATCTCTTTGCAAACGTGTTCTTGAATCTTCCATTTCTTTGATTATAGAGAAATGAATTCAGTTAAATCCACAGTAATTACAACTTTTTGTTGGTAGAAAAGCAAGCAGAGTAATTGTAACTTAATTGAAAATTCCATAAGCTCTGAATCTGACTTCAAAGATAATCTCTTACAACAAAATAAAGAACAAGAATCAGAATTCATATTATTTCATTATTGTATGTAACAGGCCATGAAATTACACAATGTTTCCAATTTGTCAGGCTGGTGAATTCAATCTCTTAAAAGATAATTGTGTTCCTTAAACTACCTGTGATATGAATTTGAGTTGAAATGTGTGAATTGAATACAATTAACACCCACCCCTCCCCACACCAAACGGATTTGCTTTTAAATTGTCTTTTTTCTCTCTCCTGCTGCCTGGCACCAATTCCATGTTCCCTTGTTTCTTGTGAATTTTACTATGCTTCCACCAGTCTAATGATTATGGCTAGATTGTGTGGGCTTCCCTGAGTTATGTGAAATAAACAGACATGGGGAGAGATGTGTGGAGCGGCCCAAGGCAATTACCTGCCTGTAAATCCAGGTGTCTCGTGGGTTCCTTCACACCTGGTGACTTACTGGCTCCCTGGAGATGCGGGCCACTCTGGTGGTTTCTCCCCTTCACAGGTGGACTGATGAATCATTGGTTCTCTCACAGGGTGACCTGTCTGTGCGCCCAGTTTGAGGCCGTCCTACAGCATGGCTTGAAGAGGAGTCGTGGATTAGCACTAACAGCAGCTGCGATCAAACAGGCAGCCGGCTTCTCCAGCAAAACGGAAACAGGTACTGCTCGGCCTGATGTGGTGGCCCAGAGGATGCTGTCTTTTCTCTCTCTGTTTATTTTTATTCAATAGTGAGCAAGGCAGTCACTGTGTGGGACTGATGGGGGGTGGGGTGGGGCAGGGCGTGGTGGTGCAGAAATCACGCGTAAGGATGCCCGACTTGTCGGTCATGGTGTTGTCTGGCACCTTAATTTAAGTGAAGTCATCCTTTGTGCAGAATCCCCAGCACCACGTGTTGCCGTCTTTAAGGGCTCGGAGGCCTGCAGCGGAGGTGCTTATTTCACAGTGTGGTGAGGCAGTTGCTGGGAAATTGGTAATCTGTTTTAATACGATGCATGGGGATAGCATGATATTTCATAATTAAACCTGTCTTCAACAACAGCAACAGAGACCACACAGGTCTCTGAGCGTATAAGTCCTGCTGCCATCCGTTTCAAAGCTGCCAAAGCATTTCCCAAGCGCCATGCGCCTGTATGTCTGAATGACACAGGTAATGCCAATAATAATAACTGCTAACGCGTGCAAGTATTTAGTGCAAGCCTGGCACTTTGTCCGTCTTCTGCATAAATGAACTTGTTCAGTTCTGACAATAGCCCTGTGAGTAGTAGGTGCCTTTATTTTCTCCACCGCACAGAGGAGGACACTGCGGAGAGTGGTTTGCTTTGGGCCTGAACCTTACAGGGGATCCCATCATATAAAACCATCCCATACTGACGATCCAAACAAGACTTAAAATATTTAGACAGTTACTTGTTAGTTGGTTCCGAGTTGAATTGGTTATGGTTATCTATCCAGTTACAAAAGTTGCAGCCATGCAGTCACCTGGGCATTATTTAAAAGTATTTACTGTTAAATGCGCTACCCACCAAGAATGAAATAGACCTTTATGAAAACTGTGCAGTTGTGTGCATGTGTGTTTTAAGTTCCTTTTAATATTGAATATTGTCATTGAATGAAATGGGTCAGTGGATTGAAGATGAGGTTAAATTCAACTATTAGAATCACTTTTGGTATCCTAAAACATGACAAATTATGAATAAAACAAATACACATAAAAAACAACAACACCCCCCCAAACCATCCTATGTTCTCCCCCCGGCCCCACTTGAGAGAGCACGCTCTTTTAGACTGCTTGTGGTTGTCACCCTTAATTCCCAAATCTTTCTTGTTGTGTACAGTGTTAGTGTACAATGTGTCATTTTTGGCTGGTTTTCCTCTTTTCATAGCTAAAAAACACCTCACTGTGTTTGGTGAAGTTAGTTGTTGGTGGAAATTCCCTGCTGACTGAGCCTTTTGTGGTTCTTTTTTTCTCTTTTGTGTTGGTGTATTTCCCTTTTCTTTCCTGCCCTTCAACAAACCTTTGATGCCTGTTCATCTCACCGATTCCTCATCTTCAGAAATTATTGTGGTTCCTGTTGGGATCAGAGGAAGCTGCAAGAGGGATTCCTGTCACAGTTGATTTTTCTTCTGTGCTCTTGGGTTCCTCCTTTAAAATGAAGTCATGGCCGTGCGGGGCCAGTTCAGAGAAACGTCAGCATCACTGCTAACTGCCACTTTGGATGTCAGTCCTGTTGTCTCATGTCCAGGATGCTTCCCTGGGCCCCTGTGTGGGGGTGGCTGAGGGCTCTGGGCTGGCTGAGAAGCTGTTCAAGGACATTGCTTTTCCCACAGTACCCTCGTTTCCATCGTTCCTGTCTGAGGGGGAGCCACCTTACTGACACTGGCGAGGCTCTGGCTCTGCTTCCATCCAGTCGATGGCAGCTGCCGGCCATGGCAGAGGCAGCCCTGGCTGTCAGACTGTGAGGCTAAGTCTGGTAGGGCCCTGGAATATTCAGAGCTTTGGTCGTTTTCACTTGTAAAGGAGGGTAGTCTCGTCTATCTGGGGGCTTGTCGGCAGGATTCAATGAGAATCTCATGTGAAGATCTGCTTCCGTTCATAACACCTAATAAATGTTTAACTAGTTGCCATCTTTCCTCAACACCCTTTTACCATTTAACCTCTTCCTGCATCTCATCCCCCTTAAGGCTCTCTGACCTTTTAGCCATGAAGAATGGCTCTTTCCATTCCATCCAGACCAGAATTCTTGTCTTTTTGTTACTTGGCCCTGATAATCAGAGAGGTTCCAGCATGTTTGCAAGGCATCTCCAGCACTCACGTTCTTGCCACTTCCCTGTATCTTAGCATGATTTCTGCACCTGCATCCCAAAGAGGCGGATGAACGGGTCTCTGGCTCTGTTTTCCTCTGAGGAGGATGTGCTGGGCTGCCTCCTAGACCCTTAGAAGCAGGGAAGGACCAAACTGGGTTAGCGCTTGAGTGGCTGCCAGGGGCTTTTGCTGTCACCGTGGGTAGTGTGAAGGACCATTCACCAGTGCAGAATAGTCCTTGGCTGATGAAAACCTCTTTCCTGCTGTTGAACGTGTGATTAAAAGCCTCACGAGAGAGGGGAGCGGTGGGCTTTCAACTAAGAGCTGGGAAAGATCGGATCAGTGGCTTCTTGAGGCTGTTAAAGCCACTGGAATGACCTTTCGGGCGGAGTGAAGCAAATGAAGCCTGGTGGAAATGAGCATCGTGCTGTTCCTTCGCCCCTGCTGGCTGCTGGCTAGGCCCTTTATGTAACTTAGCAGCTTATATCAGACTCTACAGTCAGGCCGCAGACTTGAAATCTCTGCTCAGTGACTTGTCACACGTGAGGTCTCTGGGACACCCCCACCCCTTGAGCTTTGTTTCCTCATGTGCAAAAGGAGGTTAATAACAGGCTCTGCCTTGCAGGTTGTGGTAGGGACCCCCTGAGAAAGTGCCTGCAAAGTCCAGTCCAGAGCTGCTGGAGCTGCTGCTTGATGGAAACTTGGCAGTTCCTTTCCAGGGTAGATGACGGTGTCCTTATTCTCAGTGGATGACAGTGAGGCTCAAATAAGTTAATAAGCTGCCCAAGTTCGCACAGCTGGTAAATGGCAGAGCTGAGGATTCCAACCCAGGCCAGATTGATGTCAAATTCCTGGCTCTTCCCAGCTGCCCCCTCCCCTGGCATTGGGCCTGATGCACACCGTTGCTTCTCCTCTGTAGACCACTCTAGCTCAGTTAACTGCATTGAAAGTGACAGGAAAGGATAAATAAGGGTGAATTGATCCACAAGGCTATTGCCTTAGCTCTGTTTACAAATGGGCAACATTACCTTTTGAAGAGAGAAAAGCTGAAAAAGTAATGGCTGACTAAAATGATGTTGTTGAAAATCACGGTACTGTAAATGGTGCTGAGTCTGCCAGAGGCATGACTGCGTTTGGTCGTTTGGGGTTAGGGTGCGTGCGGGACTGAGATTGGAAACTGGTGCCCTATACAGTATACATAAAAAATTATTTTTTTTTAAGTTGCCAACATTGAAAAAATATGAGATATTATGTTGAAATATGAATTTCTGACTTTTCTTAAACTTGAAGATGTGCGACTCTGGGCCCACATGTACTACTGACTTTGATTGGAGCCTGCTACTCCTGCCCTCTGTATGTTGGCAAAAGTGCTCTAGTTCACCACGGTCTCCATCTCCCCGATTGCCCTTGACACTTGAGATAAGAGTGTTGGTTGACATTTATTGTTGCACTTTTGTTACTGTTTGCACTGTTCCTGTCTAAAATTCAGTAGCTTTTGAGTGTAAACATCTCTCAGATAATGGATTTTGAATATATTCTTGTCTTTGTAGATGCCTGGTATTTTTGACCAAATGCCAGATGTTGTGTATGAAGGATTGTAGAGCGAATTTGAAGCTTGAGATGGTGTTATCTTTCTTCAGAGAGGATTTGCTGTTTCTTCTCAGGCAGGTAGAATAGAAGGAGACCAATTTAATTCAGTCAAGGATTGGGCCAGTTCACACCTGGGCTTCCGCATTTGTGAGGGCTCCTGTATTTCTGCTTCTGCCTTATTTCTGGTATACAGTTCTTTGGGCTTTTCAGTTTTTCAGAGCTTCCATACAAAATTCCACACGCTGGGTGGCTTAAAACAACAGGGAGAAATTTATGCTCTCGCAGTTCTGGAGGCCAGGAGTCCAAAGTGTAGGTGTCAGCAGGGTTGGTTCCTCCTGGATGCTATGAGACCGCATGTGTTTCCAGCTTCTGGTGGTTGTCAGCAGTCCTTGGCGTCAGCAGTCCCTGGTGTTCTTGGTTTTGTAGCTGTATCACTCCAATGTCTGCCTCTGTCTTCACATGGCCTTTCCTCTGTGTCTGTCTCTCTGTGTCCTGCCCTCGCCTCAGAAGAACACCAGTCAGATTGCATTTAGTTCCCACCCCACTCCAGTAGGACCTCATTTTAACTAATTACATCTGCTCAGAGTCTTTTTTCAAATCAAGTCACATTCTGGGGTTCCAGGTGGACATGAATTTCTTGGGGACACAATTTAGTCCAGTGCACAGCTGCATCCTTGAGGTGATTACCAGTGCTCTTTCTCCTCAGCATGCCGAGCCTAATGTTCCCCTCTCAGCCCCTGTGGGAATACTGAAAGCTCAGCTTCCCTCTTCATGGGAAAAGCCTCCAGGGCAAAATAAGGCTCTAAATGTAGGACTCGTGTCTATGGACTTCCCTTCCCTCCTAGTCCTTCACTTTTGTTTTAATTAAAAAAAAATGTTGTCTGGCTTTTTAAGTTGCTGTTTTTGTGCATGAGAGAGTTGGTCTAACCCAGGCTAACCTTTCGTAGCTGGAAGATGTGCCACCTTGTGTGTGACCATCTCCGGTTCCTGTTCTACAAATCAGGCCCCACGTTTTCCTTCGGAGAGAAACTAGCCTGGGGAAGGGTTTGCAGGCAGTTTCCTTCAGTTTTGTGGTGATTTCCATCAGTGCCTGCAGATATCTTCATTTCCTGGTTTGTTGTCTGCTAGGTGTTTTGTTTTATTGGTTTTTGTTTTTGGCTTAGCATTCAGATTTCTTCCTCTTTCTGACTTGGAGAGTTTTGCCCTAAACATCCCTCACTTACGAAATGTTGGTAAGGCAGACGAGACAATATAAGCAGATATGC